CCGACCTGGAAGGAAGTTGGGGCTAAAGGGAAAAGGAAGTGCCTTCTGGCGCGCTAGGTCTTCTGGGAGTTGTAGTCCCATCAAACAAATACAAAGGGTCACGGGAACTGTAGTCTTCCTGGCAGAAATTGCTGAGAAAAACAAAAATCACTTAGGACTCCCAAGGATGTAGATGTCAAACTCCACGAGGGCAAAGACTTTTGTCTGTTTTGTGCATATGATGTATCCTCGGCACCTAGCACAAGACCTGGCGCACGGCGGGTGGCCTATACCATTTTTGAATGAATGAATGAAAAATAAAAAGTCATGATAGTCAGTTCCTAAGGGAGGCCGCAGTGGGTTGTGGGACTTGTAGTCTGGAGCCCGTGGTTTGTGCAGGGATCCGTAGCAGGTGTTTATATTTATCTTTATTTATATTTGGGGCATACTTATACTAAAAAAGTATTTGTTACTCATCAGAAATTTAAAGTTAATTTCTGGGTGTTCCATGTTGGTCTTTTTCTAAGCTGCCAACGCTGAGAACCCAGTGTCTCAGGGCGAGAAGTAGCTAAGGAACGTCCCTTTGTACAGATGGGCAGACTGAGCCCCAGGGTGCAGCAGACAGTAGCTCTGGCTCTCAGCACATTATCATCCCAGACTCCGTACAGCTGCCTAAGGAGTCAGGGTTTCCTTTCTGTCCCAAGTGAGAAGTGGCATTTGTGCTGATTAAGAGCCTGGGCTCAAATCCCAACTCCTCCGTTTCCCAGCTGTGTGGCTTTAGGCAAGTCGCTTCACCTCTCAGAGGCTCCGTTTCCTCACATGTAATGATAAAGAATCAAGCACTCTCCCCTCTAGCACCGTGTGAGGATTCTGTTTATTTATTTATTTATTTATTTTTGAGATGTAGTCTCTGTCACCAGGCTGGAGTGCAGTGGCTCGATCTCAGCTCACTGCAACCTCCGCCTTCCGGGTTCAAGCGATTCCTGTGCCTCAGCCTCCCGAGTAGCTGCAGATTACAGGTGTGGGCTGCTGCGCCTGGCTGGAAAGGGAGTTTCTGAGCGTGCTGCTGGATCACTGAGCACCTACTGTGTGCCAGGCCGTGTGGTGGGTGCTGGGTACACAGCCAGGACCCCAGCAAAGTCACGATATCCACCGACACGGAGCTTGAAGTCCGAAGGAGGAGATGGATTGTGTGACCGGGGCGATGGGAACTGGGATAGAGGACACACAGGCAGCTAGGGGAAGCCCAGAGGAGGCCTAGGGAGGAGAGGAAATCAGGGAGGCTTCCTGGAGGAGGTGACACTTAAGCTGAAACTCAAAAGATGAGCAGGGGCAGTCAAGTGAAGAAAGAGGGGAAGCTGTGCCCAGTAAAATCAGAGCTGTCATGCAGGGAACGCAGGGAGCTGTGGGAGCCTAGAGGAGACCTAGGGAGGAGGAGAAATCAAAGAAGGTTTCCTGGAGGAGGTGACACTAAAACTAAGGTACAAAGAACGAGCAGGCAGAAGTTGAGTGATGAATGAGGGTAGGTGCGTGCTAACGAGGCCACTCTATCAGGGGCAACAAAGGTTAAGCAAAAAGCCCCCAGATGGGAAGGACCAAGAAATAATTCAGCTCAGCCAAAGCAGGGCAGAGGGGGCAACAGGGTCAGCCAACACGGGACCAGAAGGCAGACAGAGAGCTCTGGGCCTGCCCAGACTCCACTCATTCCAAATTCCACCAACACCCCACCTTGCCTGCTGTGGTCCCCACCACACTCACAGAGAACAAGAATCAGGAAAAGATAAGAACTACCCTGGCTCCTCATGCCTGCAGGGGGGTGTTTGGGACTTCGCTGGTGAAATGGCCGGCCACAGTTCCATCTGTCTGCAATTGGCCAGCCATAGTAGCTCATGCCTGTAGTCCCAACACTTTGGGAGGCTGAGGCAGGATGATCACTTGAGCCCAGGAGATCGAGACCAGTCTGGGAAACATAGCAAGACCCTGTCCCTCTCTTTTTTTTTTTTTTTTTTTTTTTGAGATGGAGTCTTGCTGTGTCACTCAGACTGAGGTCCAGTGGCACAAACTCGGCTCACTGCAACCTCCACCTCCCAGGTTCAAGCGATTCTCCTGCCTCAGCCCCCCAAGTAGCTGGGATTACAGGCATGCACCACCACACCTGGCTAATTTTTGTATTTTTAGCAGAGATGGGGTTTCACCATGTTGGCCAAGCTGGTCTCAAACTCCTGACCTCAGGTGATCCACCTGCCTCGGCCTCCCAAAGTGCAGGGATTGCAGGGGTGAGCCACGGCGCCCAGCCCCATCTCTACAAAAAATATAAAAATTAGCCAGGTGCAGTGGTGTGCACCTGTAGTTGCAGCTACTCGGAAACCCAAGGCAGAAGGATCACTTGAGCCTGGGAGACTAAGGCTGCAGTGAGCTATGATCACACCACTGCGCTCCAGACTGGGTGACAGAGCAAGACCCTGTCTCTAAAATAGAAAAGAAAATAAAGAACTGTCCCCTCAAAATCTACATGATCACATCATGACCCCCAGGACCTCAGCGTAGGATGTTATTTGGAAGATAGGGTTGTGGCAGATGGCATTAGTTAAGATGAGGTCATGCTGGAGCAGGGTGGGCCCTTAATCCCATATGACTGGTGGCCTTAGAAAAATGGGGAAATTGGCTGGGCGTGGTGCTCACGCCTGTAATCCCAGCACTTTGGGAGGCTGAGGCAGGCAGATCAGCTGAGTCAGGAGTCCGAGACCAGCCTGGCCAACATGGCAAAACCCCATCTCCACTAAAAATACAAAAACTAGCCAGGCATGGTGGTACCTGCCTGTAATCCCAGCTCCTCGGGAGGCTGAGGCAGGAGAATCACTTGAACCCGGGAGGTGGAGGTTGTGGTGAGCTGAGATTGCGCCACTGCACTCCAACCTGGGCGATAGAGCGAGAGTCCATCTCAAATAATAATAATAACAATACATAAATAAATAAATTTAAAAATAGGAAAATGAGCCGGGCTTGGTGGTGGACTCCTGTAGTCTCAGCTAGTCAGAAGGCTGAGGTGGGAGGATCACTTGAGCCCAGGAGTTGGAGACCAGCCTGGGCAACTTAATGAGACCCTCGTCTCTTAAAATAAAAAAGGTTGAAGGAGCTGGGGGAGTTTGGACACAGAGCCAGGGAGGACACCTCGTGGAGAGGGAGGCAGAGATGGGGGTGATGCTTCTCCAAGCCAAGGAATATCAAGGATGCATGCCACCAGCAGGACCTAGGAGAGGCCTGGGCAGATCCCCGTCAGCCTCAGGAGGACCCAGCCCTACTCACACCTTCATCTCAGACTTCCGGCTCCCAGAATTATGACAGCAGAAATGTCTGCTTTTCAAGCGTCCCCATCTATGAGACTGTCATGGCTGCCCTAGCAAATCGATACACTGACAGACTAAATTTTTACCTTTCATTTCATTTCTTTTTTTTTCTTTTGGTTTTGTTTTTGTTTTGTTTTTTGAGACAGAGTCTCACTTTGTCACCTAGGCTGGAGTACAGTGGCACAATCTTGGCCTACTGCAACCTCCGCCTTCCGAGTTCAAGCGATTCTCCTGCCTCAGCCTCCCGAGTAGCTGGGATTACAGGCGCCTGTCACCGCACCCAGCTTATTTTTTGTATTTTTAGTAGAGACAGGGTTTCGCCATCTTGGCCAGGCTGGTCTTGAACTCCTGATCTCGTGATCCACCTGCCTCGCCTTCCCAAAGTGCTGCGATTAAAGGCGTGAGCCACCATGCCCAGCCTAACTTTCATTTAATTTCAATGAATTTTCTTTCTTTTTTATTTTATTTTATTTTTTAGAGACAGGGTCTCTGTCACCTAGGCTGGAGGGCAGTAGCACGATCACGGCTCCCTGCAGCCTCGACCTCCTGGGCTCAAGTGATCCTCCCACCTCAGCCTCTTGAGTAGCTGGAACCACAGGCGCGCACCACCATGCTCGGCTAATTTTTTTAATTTTGGAGGATTTTTTTGTAGAGATGTGGTTTCACCATGTTGCCCAGGCTGGTCTCGAACTCCTGCGTTCAAGCAATCCTCCTGTCTCAGCCTCCCAAAGTGCTGTGATTACAGGAATGAGCCACCATGCCCAGCAAGTTTCATGAATTTTTAATAGCCACGTATGCCTCATGGCTGCTGTATTCGTGGGTAAATGTCCCCTACACACCGCATTCCCCATCGTGCAGTGGAGAAATCATGACTTAAAGCAGAGCTGCCTGAGCCCAGGAGGCGGGTGGGGTGGATGCTGACTGCCTCTGTCCAGACACTGGACTGGACAGGGCTGGCTTGGTCCTGGGAGGCGGTGGGCGAGAACTGTCTATGAGCTGCAAGTGCTGGAGGCTTCCGGATTCACATCTGCACTGAAACTGCGGCTACCCACCCCATGGGGCTACGGAAATACAAACAGATTCAAATTCAGCACAACCTACACTGCGAAATTCAGTTCTCTGCTTGCACCGTAGCCCCGTGGGGCTGGTGTCTCCCATACTGAATGGTGTGGAGCTGGCACGTCTCCCCTGGAGTTTCACGGGACACGCAGCCGTCAGCCTCTGTGGCTGGTGCTGAGTGCGAACCGGCAACCTTGTGCTTCGGCTTCAGTGATTAAACCATTTTACAGACGGGGAAAGCTGAGGCCGTTGGTGCTGAAGGGGATGTGAGGGAAGATCCCCCAGGCCAGGAAACCAAGGCGGCCGCCTCTGCCGGCCCCCAGACTGGGTTCCCAAAAGATGCAGAGGCCAGAGCCAGTGCATGGGCCCTGCCGTTTCTAAAGGGGAAGTGAACAAGAAGAGGCGGGGTTAACTGTCACTGTAACCCCTACTTCCTGCAACGCCCAGAGGTTGTTCACACACGCACACTCTCCACCCTCACAGCCACGCCTCCAGGGTGCTGGCCCGTGGCCCTCTCTAGCCAAGACACACCTAGCTGCCCCCAGATCCACAGCCCCCCTGAGCCACGGTCCGCGCACGTGCACACACCGGGGAATAAGAGGCTGCAACATCACATACCATGATCGAACTTCAATGTTGCCAGGGCATGCATCCCACAGTCCACCCCTTGCAGCCTGGGAGCCCTACTGAGGCCCAGAGAGGGGCCGGGACTTCCCAAGAATCACACAGAAGCGGGGGTGTGGGGAACCCCCTCGCCCCCACACCAGGGCACTCTCTGCTCCTACAGGGAGGTGGGGCGGTTGCCTCCTTGTCCACGGTGACCACGGGAAGTCCATTTGGCGTCAGAAGGCCCAAGAGGCCACCGGGAAGACCACGGGGGCCTGTCCCGTTCTCCACTCCCCATCCAAGCGAGGCTCCGTGTACACGGCTTCCTGCACCCCCGGAGGGCCTGCCTGGCACGTACCCGGTGGCTGCACCGTCCGCACGCAAGGCTGCAGTCTCAGATGCTCCGCACGCTGGAGATGCTGGACAGGGGCTCCCGCATCCGAAAGCTGAGTGATCGGGAACCCCGAAAGCTGTCCCTCGGCCTCAGAGAGCTGTCGGTGGTGGAAGTTCCAGAGTGAGCCTCGACGGCCCGGGCCAGGCAGTCCCCGGGACCTCGCACGCCCAACCGGAGACACCCGCAGCAGAGGAAGCCGAGCACGGCTCTGCACACCTCCCTGCTACGGAAGGAATAGATGATGGGGTTGACCGCCGAGTTGAGGACGGCCAGGGCCAGGATCCAGTCCATGCCCCGCAGGTACTCCTGGGCCCAGAGGTTGGAGCCAAAGACGTCGGCCAGCAGCAGCCCAAAGAGCGGACCCCAGCACACCAGGAAGGCCAGCAGGATCATCAGCACCGTCTTCAGCAGGCGGCGGGCCTTGCGGCGGGCAGCCGGGCGTGGGGCCTTCTGCCCGCTGGCCTGCACCAGGCGGAAGATGGCCCCGTAGAGGCCCATGATGGTAGCCAGGACGCTGGCGAAGATCACCAGGCAGAAGAGGATGTAGCGCTTGGAGTAGAGGGGCAGAAGGCTGGAGCAGCGGTCAAAGGCGCACAGGCAGTTCCAGCCCAGCAAAGGCAGCATTCCCAGCAACGTGGCCAGCAGCCAGCAGAGGCCGATGAAGCTGTAGACGCGGCCGGTCTTGGTGGCCCCACTCTCGGCCACCGGCCGCACCATGGTGGCAAAGCGCTCCCCGGCGGTGAACAGCAGGCTGAACGTGGAGGCGGCCAGGGCGGTGAAGAGCAGGCCCTCCCGTAGGAACCACTGGGCGGGCGCCAGGCGGAAGGTGCGGGCCCCCGACAGCAGCACGTTGGCCAGGTAGGCCGCGCCCGTGAGCAGGTCGCTCAGCGTGATGTTCACCAGGCAATAGTAGACCCAGCGTCGCGACCGCATGTGGCTCGTGATGGCCGCCAGCACCAGCAAGTTCTCCAGCACCACCAGGCAGCTGGCGGCCACCGACAGCCCCCGCAGGGCCCCAAGGCCACCGTCCTCCGGCCCTCCGCGCCCGGCCAGCCGGCCCGAGTGGTTGTAGTGCATCACGATGAGCCGGCTGTGCCCGCCGGCCGCCAGCTGTTGGCAGGACTCGGGGGCCACCGGGGTCCCCGTGGCATTCATGGCCTCCCCCGGGGGCTGACTGAGGCCCCGAGGCAGGGTGGAGCCGCCCGACTTACTGGTCTTGGTTTCCTGTTATTTGAAATTTCCTGTTATGTTCAAGGTACCCTCCAGGGTGGAGGTAAGGCCGAGGACAGGGAGGGGCACCCCAACGGTCGGCCCCCACCCAGGATCCTGGAGCCAACCTGCTGGGGCCGCCCCAGCTGTGAGACCCCCCCACCCCGACCTCTACCCCGGCTGCCCTCTTCCTGTCCTCGAAAGCCAGAGACCCGCAGGGAGCCCCAGAGCTGTCAGTCACAGAGGGGAAATGGGTCTCCACTCAGGATGGGCCACCCCTCTGCAGCCAGACGACTCCTCCCCACCAGCCCTGATCACCCCTGAGACTCGTCTGCTCCACTGAGGTCTCCCCAGATGCTCCAAGCAGGCTCAGCACACAGCAGGTGCTTAATAAATGTCAAGTGCCTACATGGCCTTGAGCACCGACTCATCCGACTTGATCCCCTCAACAGGGCCTGATGCATTATACACTATCGGCCCTGATGCGTTACAGAAGGGGAAACTGAGGCCCAGAGAGCCCGATGCGTTACAGAAGGGGAAACTGAGGCCCAG